TTTCCTTTATAACCTTTTGATTTCATTTTATGCATTTCAAAGTGTTACTCTGAAAAGGGGTTCATGACCTTCATCAGACTGGACCACAATAGGAAAAAAAGGTTAAGAACCTCTGGTTTAAGAGCAAAGAGCTAGTGAACAAAACTCCTAATAAGGTATCATAATATTGAGAAAGGCTGAAGGTTTTTTGGCCCCCTAAAAATACCTCCCATTCTACCCTTCACTGCAGATAACGGAGTCCTGGCATACATTAGACAGTGAACATAAAGGTGGATTTAGACTCTTTCTGGTATGTAAGAAAGGTAATATGAGTAATGCAGATTCATAAACAGTGCCCAGAGAAGGGTGACCTACTTTTCCTGGCCTTTGTTGTTGGCAAGTGAGAATACACTCACAGTCACATTCTTCACTAACTTCCATTCTACCCTGTTAGCTAGAGCTGAATAAATGTGTCTAGAAAACTTTGGAGCCTAGGGATACATAATCTGATTTAGCTCTGAATGACTCTAAAAGTACCAACACCATTAATAAAGCTAAACTCTAAACTCTGGCCAGTGCACAGAATTTCCATTGATTGTAGTGGGAACTGTACATTCATGCTCAAAGATTCAATTTGGCCCCACAAGGCTAGAAATCTGAAAATATATCCTACCACCAACCTGCCTTATTAAATTCCTATCCATTTTTCTTCTCATGCTCATTTTCCTAGTGTACTTTTGTCACTATTTGACTTTTTTGAATGTGAAAATTATCATCACAAATATAAAAATAAAATAAAATTAATTTTAGTATTAACATTGAAAAATACCAGAAAAATCAGAATGGTTTTGAACGTCAAAGTTCCAAGCCAAATAGCTGTGGCCTCATACACTGGAATATATGCATATAAATACACATATACATACATATACATACATGGATATATATGTGCATATATATATTTATTGCTCACAATATTTCAATATAATTGGTTTCCCTTGTAATCCTGTGTATTTTATTTGATGTACATAAAAACATTATTCTGAGTAGAGTCCATAAATTTCACCATTCTACCAAAGGAAGCCTGACCATGACCTCTCCACCCCCCCCCACACACACACACGAAAAGTTACATATTCCTGCTATGTGACTGGCACTGTGCTAAATGCTCAAGATACAAAGAAAGGCAAAAGATATTTCCTGCTCTCAAGGAGCTCACAGTCTAATGGAGGAGACAACATCCAAATAACTATGTACAAACAAGATATATACAGGATAAATTGAATATAATCAACAGAGGAAAGACACTAGTGTTAAGGGGTCTCAGGAAAGTCTTCCTATAGAAGGTGGTATTTTAGCTGGGACTTGAAGGAAGCCAGAAGGCAGAGAAAAAAGGGAGAGAATCCCAGGCATGGGGGATAGTGGAAATGCAGAGTTGACAGGAATATCTTGTGGAGGGAATAGCAAGGAGGCCAGTGTGTCGAATCAAAGAGTATGTGGGGAAGGTGTAATATGGAAGAATACTGGAAAGGTTGGGGGAAGGGAGAGCAGTTTATGAAGAGCTTTGAACACAAAATAAAGATTTTAATGTTTGATCCTGGAGGAGCTAGTGAGCCACTGGTGAGTGACTATGGTCAGACCTGAGCTTTAGGAAGATCACTTGGACAGCCAAGTGAAGGATGAACTGGAGCATGAAGAGACTTGTGACAAGAAGACCAACCAGAAAGCTATTGCAAGAGTCCAGGAGAGAGGTGATGAGGCTTTCACCAGGGGGTGGCAAAATTTCAGTTTGGATCCTGGTTCTGTCACCTCTTACTGCCTGTATAACTCTGGACAAATCACTTTACCACTCTGAACCTCAGTTTCTTCATTTTAAAATGAGGGAGTTCACTATATGACCGCTAAGGTCCTGTCCAATTCTAAACCTGTAATCTTTGTTTCCATTTAACCTTCAATATGCTATTAGTCTCTCTCTAGAGGTGAACTCTTTTCATCTTAAAATATGACTGGAATGCTTTGACACAAATGATTTCACTATTTCGATGGTGTTTTGGTATCAAATGATCTGTTTAGACAACTATCTGAAGTCTGAAAAATTGTCACTGGTTTGTTTTTCTCCCAGTTAGAGTGTTCTCCATTAGGGTTTTCAACAACACGCACTGCTTAACTTAAAAGGCCAAAAAGTGTCCAAATTAAAATCTAATATTGTTAATCACTGCCATTTACAAGGATTCCTTTTGAAGTCTCAACCTGGAGCATAATCCAAGCCTAATAGATTGCCCAGAAAACAAGATGTTAGTCTAATATTAAAGATAGGTGTCAGACTCACGTATGACTTTTCCCTCACTTTGATCTAGTGAATTTGTTGACAAAAATGTGGCTAATTACTTCCGTAAATTTCCCTACATATTTTTTACACTGTCACATCTTATTTCTTTTTTTACTACAATCTTGAGATCATTACATAGGAAAAAAATACCAATGAGTCATCCTTCTGGGTGAATAATCTACACATTGGATATAATTTATGTCTTTTCAAAGCTCACTAACTCCTTCTTACCAGCAGGAAAAGAATTCATTATGTGAGAGGTCATCCTTTAAAGATCTTTCTAAGTGTGTCCAGATGACACCCAAGGAATCAGGAAATATCTGCCTTCCGCATCTAAAAAAAAATCTGCGGTTACAGAGTCCACATATTATGATCTATTTTTTTTCTTTATATCCAGTGCCCAGCACAATGCCTGGCACATAGTAGGTGCTTAATAAATGCTTGTTGATTGATTGATTCTGCTATCTCATTATGATAGGCTCCTTTTAAAACTTTCATAGAACCCAGGAGTTCTCTTTCTTCTGTCCCCTGACTGCTCCTTCAATACACCAGGAAGTATTTACTGAGTAGGCTCAGCATTGTGGACAGATAGGTATATAAGAAGTGGTCCTTGGCCTGTAGGGGACACAAGACTAACACACATAAATGGTATCTAGTTGTGTCAGATGTGACTCTAATCCAAGAAGACTGATTCTGTAATCTACCATGTGAAAACCAATTCCATTAACTACCAAACTATGAGACTCAGACAATAAGAGTTATACGAGTTCATACAAGTTCATATTGCATTCAGGGGGTGGAGGGAAGGGCAGTTGTTGAGGGGAAAGAAAAGCAAACAAGTATTTATTTATTTATTAAGCACCTACTGTGTGCCAGGTACCACACCAAACACTTCACAAATATAATCTCATTTTTTTCTTCACAACAACCCTGTGAGGTAGGTGCTAATATTATTCCCATTTTACACTTGAGGAAACCAAGGCACATGGTGGTTAAATAATTTGCCCATGGATACACAAGTATGTGGGGCTAGGTTTGAACTCAGGTCTTCCTGATTCCAAGGCCAGGGCTCGAGCCACTGCCCTGCCTAGTTCCTCATACCTGATCTCAGAACTTCAAGGTGAGACTTTATGTGGGCTTCAGAGAATGGGTTGGCTTTGGCTCAACAGGGAGAGGAGTGGAGGTGAGACAGTTCTTGGTGAAGAAAACAACAGAAGTATATCTTTGAGCTGGTGTATGTGCCTGAGTGGAATGGCTGTTCTCTGATATTGTCCTAGACCTTCTCCCATTGGCTGCTCATTCCTAGAATGGGCTCCATCCTCCATAAGCCCATCTCGGCCTATGAAAATCCTTCTCTTCCATCAAGGCCTAGCTCAAGTGCCACCTATATCAAGAGCACTTCCCAACCAAATGTTATTCTTTTCTCTAGGAATCTCCCAGACCTCTGTTGGAGGTTTCCTATGTTCCCAATCACTTTCTGCTTTGTAAAACTTTTTTTTTAACATTTTCAATAGAGAAGGAGTCTGTGTGTACTGAGGAGTCATCAGAAAAGAGAAGAGGTTGGATTTAGATGGCCTTAGGAGGCTGGGTAGGATTGAGACAGAGAGGAAAGAGGAAGGCAGATGCTGATTCTGAACATTTCCTCAGTCCTATCACCAGCAATTAGTTCTGAAAGCCCAAGGGCCAAGATTAGGTCATTTTTCATCTTTGTAGACCTAGAACCTAATACCTTGCATGTAGTAGGTTTTTAATGTTTGTGGAATTAAATTGAGGAAAGTGTGCTGGATTTGGAAATCAGAGGACCTGGATTTGTGTCCCAAGTATGCCATTCACTAGCTCTGTGACCTTGAGCAAGTCATTTCCCTTTCTGAGTCCATTTTCTCATCTTTAAAAGAAGAGGTTCATATTAAATATCTCTAAAGTCTCTTCCAGATGTAAATCTATGATCCTATGATCCTCTGTGGATTATTGAATTGAAGTGACCTTATCCCACTGACACATCCCTTGGACCACACAATCCTAGGAAGAGGTAGCCTGGGTGGAGATTCTACTCCAAGCACTCACCTCCTCCAGGACAATGAGTCTCTGGGAAATGGGGGGGGACCTCAAAAGATCCAAGAGAGACAATAGGAGAGCTCTTGCCTATGCGTGCAGAAATAGGCATTGTACCATCCTGAACTCAAAGTGGAACACTAGGCTCATAAAAAATGGAGGGGCTATAAAAGAAGACTGTCAGCTTAGCTATTCCCATTGGTGAGATGTGAAAGGCTCCCACACAGCAAGGCGTTAAGCTGGCCAAAGAACAATGAAGCAGGAAACCGGGCCGGAACTCTCCCCAGCCCTCAGCCATTCTTCTTTGACCCAAATGGAATGTTGGCATCCAATGATTAATTAAAGCACTTTCTGTTGTCTAAATGCTTGACAGCAATGTCTAAAACCTAGTCAGCATAATTTAAATGCTGCTTCTTTTAAGATAGCTTGCCCAAAGCAAAAATCCACAGCTGAAAACGTTCTTTCTCCAGTTAACCGTGTGCTAGCAAAAGCTCTGAGCAATACCTCACTGAACAACGTTGATGAAGGAGGAGAGGGGTATTATTTCTCGTAAAGCTCTCTCCACCCCAAGTCAATAGCCCATTCTTCTGACAGGTTTGCATTTGGATGATTGTCAGCGGGATGTGTTTTTCTCTCTCAGTCCCAGGAGGCCCAGGTGCTGAAACAATTGGCAGAAAAGCGAGAGCACGAGAGAGAAGTCCTTCAGAAGGCTTTGGAAGAGAACAACAACTTCAGCAAAATGGCAGAGGAAAAGCTGATCCTGAAAATGGAACAGATTAAAGAGAACCGTGAAGCTAATTTAGCTGCTCTTATTGAACGCCTTCAAGAAAAGGTAAGTGGGGCATTATTCTGGCAAGAGATAGGAAGCTCAAAACTCCAGCTGCTGACCTCCAAGAAGAGAAATCTTCTGCACTCCGAAGCAAGTGAGGTGGCAGGCCTAAAGAATTAGAATAAACTCTGCCTCTCTTTTCTGTTTTTCCTGATGGGTCCTCATAGAGGAAATTCTTGTGTGCTTTTGCTGCTGGGAGATGTTTGTGTGGCCATGGAATACAGAAATTGAAGGACCACACCATTACCATCCCTAAATCAAATTGGGGAGAATAGGGGAGGGGAAAATGAAGAGATTCGTTAACATATGTAGAAACAAGAGTAAAAATTCAGCTGATGAAAGCATTTAAATTTACCTTTACCATGCCTCTCTGAGGCCCTGTTGCATGGTAGGTAGAGAGTTGGTCTCAAAGCCAAGAAGACCTGGTTAAGTCCTACCTCTAACATATACTGGTTGGTTAACCATGAGCAAATCATTTAACCTCTTAGTGATCTAGGCAGTTCTCTAAGGTAAAAAAGGTTCAGAAAGGGTGCCAATCTTCATTGATAGAGGAAGTTTCTTCCTTTGAAATTACTTACAGCATGAAAATCACAGGTCCAGTCCCTATCTCTGTCCTATGCCTAGGTATTAAAAAAAAAAAAAGATAAATTTAGTATTTAGCAGAATGCACCTTTCTAACAGCTCTGGGGCCACCAAGCAATAAGACAGAAGAGTAGAGTTCTTTCTCTCCTCTGCCAACTAGGTTGCTAGGCAACCTTGAGCCAGCCACTTTCCTTTCATTTTGTTATCAGTTCAGTGGTGGGAAGCTTTGGATGAGAGGTCAGGAAACCTCAAGGCTCATTCTAATAGAGCTTCAGCAGCATGAAACAGAGTAGTCATCCAGAAGGAACATGCCATTCCTTCTACTCCTCCATTTCCCTTTTGGGATCTTAAAAACAACAACAACAAAAAGCAACCAGGGGTTATTTTATGTGTAATATTCAGTTTTCTGCCAGAAGGAAATGTTTGCAACTGCAATGGTAATTGGGTAAGCTTTTCTTTATTCCAAGTGTCACCAAGCTATCCTGCAATAAATGAGGACTGTATTTATATTAGTGACAGCTTGGGAACGGTAGTATTTGTAAAACTATATGTGAGCATGTATGCGCTCACATACATACACACACACACACACACACACACACACACACACATATCCCTTTCTCATTCCATTTACAAAATAATTTATCCTCTTCTGCCTACGTTTTTTCATCTGTACTTCCAAACGGTAATGAGATTCTACAGGCAAATTGCCTTGTCTTACATACTGCAAATCTTTTCCCATTCCCCTATATGCAAAGCTCACAGCCTAATGTTTCCAAACCAACTGACTTCCCACCTTAATATCCCTCCACACTCTTACCAGATTTCCTTCCATTTCTTCTTTAATAGCCCCTAATCACACATCACTCTGCCTTCTGGAATAGACTCCTGGTTGTGGACCTATGTGCTAGACTGAGCTGTTCCTATTTTATGGCTTTGTCTCACAACACAGGCCTTCAGATATTCTCAGCTAATGTAACTTCCTTTAGGCAGGAATATTTATGCACTAATGATCTTTCTGAAGCAACTTCACCATGGCTATCTAGCATCAGGTCTCCTCTGAACAAAGGCCAAACTTGAGCCTTAGACAAATACGCGTAAGCAAATAAAACAGAATTTCTGGAGACACATGGATTATCCATGATGATATTTATACCAGAGGCCAAAGGCAAAGATTCTGTTAGGGGTGAGGGAGGAGGAGACCTCTTTTCAAGATTTAAAAAACAAAAAGTATTGTTAGTTATTTCCATGCTTACAGTTTAAACCTCATTCTTGATACTATCTCCCTGAAAATAAGTTCATTGTGAGCTCATTGTAAATGTTCACCTTACACTGTAATTATATTTCATAAAGAGTAACTGGAAGACTTTACATCTGCCAACAAGACTTTTCCTGTGATGGAAATAATTATCATGGCTTAACCAGCCTAGTGCTTATGGCCATGCCTGTTATAAATCTGAAATAGCAGGGTTTTGTGCAAGGATTAATGGTTTAGCCCAAATGGGCTAGAGCAGCAGCTATAGCCACACTAGCATTCCATAGCCCAGCATGCAGCAGCCATATCTAACAGGATATTTGCTCCTTGTCCAGGGCACCTGGGAATGATGGAATTTCCCCTTTTTCAGTTTTTAGCAACTATCTCATAAATTTCTGTCTCATTAATTTTAGATGCCCTGTTAATGTTAGGTGGCATTGTGGATGGAGTACCAGACCGGGATTCAGGAAGACTCATCTTCCTGAGTTCAAATCTGGCTTCAGACATTTAGTAGGTGTGTGACCCTGGGCAAGTCACTTAACCCTGTCTGCCTTAGTTTCCTCATCTGTAAAACGAGCTGGAGGAGGAAATGGAAAACCGCTCTAGTATCTTTGCCAAGAAAATCCCAAATGGGGTCATAAAGAGCCAGATATGACTGAAAATGACTGAACAACAAAAATTCAACTGATTTTTTTTCTAATTAGCACTCTGTACCTTTTCCTCCTTGAATACATAATGTATGAAAAAGGTAAACACTTTCGGGGAGTTTGGGGCCCTGATTTACAATGTTTTTCTTAGTATTTGACAATTTTTTAACTATTCTAAATGCCTCACTCCATAAGAATGAATTCATTACTGTCATGCTCCTGAAATTAAAAATGAAAAATATAACAGCTGACATTTATATAGTGCTTTAGAGTTCGCAGAGAGCTTTTCATGCAGTATCTCATTTGAGCCCCCCACAGCAATCCTGTGAATAAGAACTAAAGATATTATTATCCCCATTTTGCAGATGTGGAAAATGAAGGTCAGAGTAGTTAAGTGACTTGCCTAAAATCTCTCAACTAATAAATGTCAGAGGAAGAATTAAACTCCATATCTTCCTAACAAAAGTCAGATCCTGAGCCCTATCCACTATGCCATGCTGACTAAAAGAGAAGGGAAAAAGAAAGCAAGAGTGTTAACAGGAATAATATGAATCATAACAGCCAGGGTGACACCTATTCTATTAAAAGTGGCTATATCCTAACTCTTCACCGAAATGCTGACAGTTAATTAGCATAATTGATAATAGTATTTAATAATAATAGCAAGCATGTATGTAGACCTTTAAGTTTATAAAGCTGTCTAAACACATTAATTTATTTAATCTTCACAACAATCCTGTGGGGTAGCTGCTATAATTGTCCCTGCTTTACAAATGAGGGAACTAAAGCTTAGAAAAGTCAAGTGACTTGTCCAAAGTCACACAGCCACTAAGTGTATGAAGCAGAATTTGAACTCAGCTCTTCCTGACTGCAGGTCTAGTGTTCTAATATTTAAAAGCATTTATTGAGAGTAGATTACATGCCTAGCACATTGGAGTGGAAGAAGAATGCAAAAGAAGTATTAGATAACCTCTTGCCAAAAGGAGTTTACAATCTGTTTCATGTGTACATGTTTTGTCTCCCTCACTAATTAGAGAAGGCAGCATGGAATAGTGGGTAGAAAGGTGGCTTGGAATGAAGATCTGGGTTCAAGGTCTGTCTCTGGCACATACTGCTTTGGTGACTATGGGCAAGTCACTTACTCTCTAAGAAATGTTCAAAGACTATGAATTGCTGAGGAGATGTTAATTGGCATTGGCAGATGGAGTTTCCTCCCAGAGAGTTTCATATATAAGTGAAATCATAGGTCCAATCAAGAGAAAAACTCAGTATTAATTAAATACTAATTTGTGCAGAACAATTAGATAAAATATGTCATATGTAATAGGTGCTAACTCCAATACAGCATAAAAGGAGTTATGATGACCCCACCTAAGATCACTCTAGCCGCTACAAGATGGACCCAAATCTAGCACAATAAGAGAGTGACAGTTTCTTGTAACCCCCATCAGATCCAGAGACTGGACATGAAATACCACATCAGTGCCATGTGAGATGGTTTTTAAGGTTCCAACATGGTACAATGGCCATGGTTCAAATCCCCTCTCTGATACTAATTTCATCTACAGTCTTCAACAAATCAATTATTTCTTCAACAACAAAATGAGAGGTTGGAATAGATCAGAGGTGTGAAGAGGTGTCAGCTTATGTCCCACAAACAGTGGAGTGTCCAGCCAGAACCAGATTTAAATGTAACTGGGAAATCTTTAACAAAATAGATTACAAATACAGGATGACATAGATAATGTTAATTTATGGTTTTCTAAATCAATATGCAACCTGCAATGATTTGTTTCTATTTGAATTTGACATCACTGGACTAGATGACATCCAAGGTCATTTCAAGCCCTACATCTACAAGTCCTGGCTTGATTTTTTTTTCTCCAGGGTGATACCTGATATAGTGCACTAGATATGGCTGGGTATTCCATTCATATTGTTGACTGACAGAAATCCAGAAGTCTCTCAGAACCCCAACTAAAGTAGCATGTATCTATCAAATAACGCCCCTTCAGCAGATGAGCATTCTTTCTTTGGTAGCCACAAATTATACTCTAAAATCCATTAGTTTTGTAGTCATTTCTTTTTCTGCTTCAAAAGGAAAATGTGACACACCATTTTACTTCATCTCTCTAGTCATACCATTCATTAAAATGCAGAAGAGGATCAGATTTGGAGGATGGTAGATGAGAAGCACAGATTTATGAGGCTATAACACAAAGCTTCCTTCTTTATGCTGATTTCTTTGTATCACTAACTAGGAATCCTGAAGAATGGGGTTCATAAACTGAGTTAGAAGAAAACATAGTTCACCCCTACCCAAATCCTATTTACATCCTGAGTCTTTGCTTGAAGATTTGCTATGATAAATAACTCACTGTGTACCAAAGAATCCCATTACACTTTTATAAAGCAGAAATTTTAAAGTTTTTTCCCTTATGATAAGCCAAAATCTCTTCCTCTGTAATTTTTACCCATTGATCCTATTTCTGTGGCTAATAACAAGTTTAATCCCCTTT